TAGTAGGTTGGAGACCATTGCTACTAGTAGGTTGGAGACCATTGCTATTATTGGAGGCCATTGCTATTGGATTGGAGCTGGAAAGATCACGGATTGTCTCAGAGTGTTGGACGTGACCACACCTTTGGCCTGGGCCAACCTCTGAAATTCAGCAAAACGATCCTTGGATTGCATGGACCGCATTGCACTGACTGCAATTGCAGTACATTAATGCTTTTGTGGCTGAGGCTCAAACTCGCACAAGGCGCTCAGTAGCGGTGCCCATCCAAAGGGAGTTCCAAGCTGACCAACTGCTTTCTTGGCTAGTCTCATTGGCCCCAGTTTCAACTTGTGCCGTTGCCAGGCTTCCATGTACATGGTCTAGAGTAAGAGTATCATGGAGAACTGTGGAACAGCTCCTCTTTCATAGCCAGGAAGGCTGAAAGAATGAGAATTGCTTGGCATGAGTGCTTGCAGCAAGCAACCAGCACAAGCTTGAGGATTTCGCACCTTCTCACATGTTTCTTGCCTTTTAGCAACTCATTCGACGGGTGAAACATTTCTGCCCGTGTGCGCCTTCCAAGTAACTCGAACTAGAGTACATACTGTTTTACTAGCTCTAACTGTTCTGCAAACCTTTGACTAAACAAGGACCTCAATTACACTACAGCGCAGTGATCAGCGATCGGCTGATGGAGAGGCTTGTGCGGATTAACACCAGTTCTGCAGTTTAACTGCAGAACATCTTCACAGAGTGCAGCAGCGCTGGAGGCTTTTCGAAAAAGCAAAGCAAGAAGCTTCGATGACAGAATGCCGGTATGGCGGGCAGGATGTTTCATCAGAAGACTCGCATCACTTGTGGGCACATGTTGTGGAAACCCAAAACCACCAGTATCAACTCTTGCATCTGTAAGTCTGTGAGTGTCTGTGAACTCCAACGTGCAGCAAATCCTGTGGCTCGGCAAAGCATTTACTGACACTTCTCAGAGTGGCGACAACCAACTCGCGGGTTGCGACGCCTGTGAAGGTCTCATAGTCCCGCAACACAAACCCTAGGGCCCTAGGAGTTGCTTGGTTCGTCTTGTTTCGACTCGGAAGAAAGTCACTCGACAAGTGCCTTCTTCACCTTTCCACCGGGCAGTCTTGGCAAAGACTCTGAGTGGATGTATTGCCCAGGGCCTGAGTGGATGATCCCTCAGCAAATGCTTCACAAAAAAACTTGGAACACGACTTGCAATGTCAACTTGTTCGTCATTCAAGCTATGGCTATGGGCTCTCCAAGTTGGTTGTGCTCCGAGCACCAAGCACCGGACCTTGAATAACGGCATGAAATTATGAAACTTAGCTGCAGCTACACACTCCTTGCACTGTGGATGAAATATGTAACTTTACAAGGTCTTTGTTGCTCTATAGCAAGCAAGAACGACTCAAGACTGCCAGACAATCTACTGGAGCCAACTCTGAGACCATCACGCGCTTTTCCTGACACCAGGGCCAACTCTGAGTCCCTTTCAATATCTTTCAATCTTTCAGGATCTTTCCGGCTTCCAAATTGCCAAATCACACACACAAAAAGCACAAAAAAAACCACTCACTGCACTCGCTGCCGCACCTTTGAAACAGTTCGTGAGAGGCAAAGACGACTTCGACCCGTTGGATCGTGCCCACGACCTCGATTCTTTGGAGCGATGCGTGCAGCAGAATCATTGCGGTGCACGAAGAAGAAACTGCGACACCGAAACCAAAGCAACGGGGTGGGATTGGTGGGAATGACGGTGGGGAAAGCACCACAAATGGAAGTCGAACCCTGTAGAATCTGTACACCCAAACAACCAGGACAATTCCTATGTCGATCCATTCAGATTCCAGGTCACAAATCGGTACACCCGTCTCTGTTTTGGTACTGGATATCTCGGTTTCGTTTCCAAATTACGAGAGAGCTTCCGAATCAGACTTTGCCAATGTCTCATCAAGCACTCGTCCCCTCTTCAAGTGATGTCTGTTAGGAAGTCTCTTCCCATCTTCCTCCTTTGTTCTCCCAATGTGTGCACACTTGGGTGGCTGCAAGGAAGACGGCGCCTCCGCTCGAACCTTAGGGCAAAAGACGGAGGACTACTCAGTTTCCTTCAAGCTTTCTTGGCATCGCTATTAGGTTGGAGGGCATTACTACTTGCTCTTCATTCAAGCTTTCTTGGCTGCCGGCCTGTCCAGACAAGGGCTGTGACAGGGGCTGTGACCTCAAGAAGTCCCATGGCCCAATAGACCCCAATGGCGCACCGTTGTGCACCCAATGGCCAACAGCCGTTCTCAGAGCGATAAACAACCACATGCGGATATCCTGAGGAACTTGCTTCGCATGCTGGATCAGCAAATCTACAGCATCTCCCTTGCATTGGAGTGCATCTTCTCAAATGATCAATGAGGTCCATGAGACCCTTGTTCTCTCTCGCTGATATATTGCACTTACCCTTCATTTAGATTCCAAGAGAGGATCCACATTGAATCGCAGCAAGACCAGTCAAATTCCGCAAAATATCCGAGTCAAAACACAACATGCACCAACCTGGTAAGGACTCTGCAGAAACTCGCGAGTCCAGTTGTTCGCTTTTTCGATCAATCTAGGGTCTGGAAAACTTTCAGAACCGGTCGGGTCTTTCCGGAACAGTCTGGCATTCTTGGTAGATGGATTGCTGATAGATCTGAGTTTGTTGGCTCTAAATCTTTTCAAGTGCTTCAGTTCCAAGTCAGGGCTGAACGTTCCTTCCAGTAGGCTTCTGGATCCATGATCGACTCAGACATCAACGATGAGAGTGCCGTGCTGCCTTTTAAATGTTCCGAAAGTGCAACAGCCTCTAGGTTACTCTCAAGTTGGGAAATTGTCACTGCACCCGAGAGGACCATCGGTTGAAAAGGTTGGGCCATAATCGCCGCAAGCGCCAAAGAATCAGGAGCAACTTCCATCGCTTCGGCAGCTTTGAGAAGCACTGGACTTTGGAGAATCCGACCGTTTGCCATGCCCTCTTTTATGATGACTTCCAGACCTGCATCATGTGCCTGTTTCAAAGCTGGCCCACAAGACTGCTCCATCAAGTTCCATGTGGCTTGTACAGAGTCGAAGACACCGGTCTCCAGAGCCTTCTGCAGAGTCTTGGACTGCCCAACTCCAGATAGGCTAAGGCCAATTCGCCAACCTTTGTCCTCACGCAGGCTCTGAAGCCTTTTGAGTACATCTTCGTTGTCCAGGACACCACTCTCTAGAGTAGCTGAATGGATCTGATAAAGGCGCAAATGTTCCCCCAAAAAGCTGTCCGTCTCTTTTTCCTGACTCTCTAAGTGCGACAAAGAGTGGTCCTTTACCTCATGAGGTTCTCCTCCAGTGTCCACTCTCCAGTCTGCGGTATACCGATAGCCCCACTTCGAACCCACAGCGACATCTTCTTTCTTGAGTTCCTTCTGCTTCAGCCAGCCAGAGAGAAATTCTTCACTGCGACCATAGCTTCTTGCGCAATCAAAGTAACGAATGCCCAAATCCCAAGCAGCATCAAGTACTTGCCAAGCCCTTTCGCGCAATGCTTCAGGGGTGCGTGTCTCTGCCGGAGACAAGTGTTCAACACGACCGAGATTGATGTAGCCAGGCCGTCCCAAAGCAGCTAACCCCAAGCCCAATCGTGGGGATCCGTCAACAACCAAGAAAGACTTTGACATGAAAAACTCTGAAACCAGGAGCAAACACAGCGAAGTGACAATCAAACCATTACATCGCATCCGCATTGCACAGTGATCATCTAGTGTGAAATTCTAAGACTTAGCTCTTGACACTGAAAGTTGAAAGGGGCAGTACTGCAGTTACTATAGTTGAAGAGTATGTTATTTTGTATTTCAATTTTCGCCAAATGCTGAGGCATCATCTTTGCTTGAATCTCCAGCACAAATGGTCTGCATGCGAGGAAGCTTCAAAATGTCACCCGAGGTTTGCACACAGTGTAAAAGGATGCAAAAGGTGTGTATCGATGTGTGGTTCCAAAGGAAACTGCAAAAGGATGTGCTCGTTCGTCACCAGACCCGCCTGGCCCACCTCCTTTGGTGCCCCTCCTTTGTCACTAGAGACACCCGCTGAACCAGGATTGATAGCGACGGCCTCCAACCTACTTGCGATGGCCTCTACCTAGTAGCGTCCTTGCACTAGTAGCTTATTGCTACAATCCAGTTTCTTCTGGACTTTATGTCTCTCTCGCTTCCCTGATACCCTCCAAGGCCCTTGGACGCACACACACCTGAGATGGCAAGGGACTCATTTGCGACACCAAATCTGACTCATTTGCGACACCACCACCCCCCTGTATTCCTCTCATGTGCGACACCAAATCTCTCTCATTCGCGACACAGACACATACACACATATGATTGCAAGCATTAGGTTGGGTGGGACATTAGGTTGGGGTGGGGTGGGGTGGGGCATTAGGTTGGGTGGGGGGGTGGGGTGGGGCATTAGGTTGGGTGGGGGGGTTTAGGGGTGGGGTGGGACATTAGGTTGTTGGGCTTCAGAGTTTAGAGTGGCATTTGGTGGAATTGGTGTGGAGCTGGATTGGAGCTTTATGACTTTATGAGAACCAAGCAAGGGCCCAGAAGCACACAGATTCTCTAAAAGAAAAGCTCTCCGCGTCACAACTGAGAAAAGCTCTCCGCGTCACATTCGAGACAAAAAAACGCGTCACAACCGAGACCCTTTCCCCTGAGATTGCTCACACGGAGTTTGAGAAACACAAACATCAATAGAGGATTTCCGTGGAGTTCAAAACTCCAAGGAGAACAAACCAAACATGACTCATGACGCTCCCTCCAACAAATCGGGGTCCAACCGCTGAAGGGTGTGGATTGTATGGAGATGTACGGAGCATTTGTGGACAGCTATTAGGTTGGAGGCCAACGCTGTTAGGTTGGAGGCCATCAACTTGAACTCTGCTGGTTGTGTCTCCCAGTTCTGGCTCCTTTGCAAGCGAGCCCTCTTGACCTCAAGCTCAACTGACATGTGGAAGTTTGTTCAGGCATTCTCCATCATGAATGGTAAGGGTAGTTAAGTCCAAGACAAGTTCCATGCAGAACAGCCAAGTGCAGCCATGCTTTCGTACGGACAAACAGCCGTCGCTCCTTTCTCAACGCCAAGTTGGCACTTCTGCAGAGCTAAGATCGGCTAAAGGGGCAAATCCCGATTCTGGGGATGCTCTCAGTATGTTCAGCAGAACCATATCTGGAGCTCAGCCTGGCAAAGAAGAACAATTGTACTCAAACTGCTGATCAACATTCCAGCGTGCATTGGGAACAGTGTCTGCAAACCGACTTGCGCAACATTCAAACAGCTTCTTCCGATTCCTGGAAGATACTCCAGCAATGTCGTCTGGATGATGAGGCACCTGCAGTCTACAACCTTTGACTGGATTTGACGCACACCAATCCCTTTATGACGTTAAGCCAATGCTGCTTTCTGAGCTTAGCCAGCACTGTCAAGTTGCTCGTGTCTGGGCATCCAACAGCACCGTATTGACAAGACTGCTGGTGACACAAAGCTTCACCAAATGTTCACCATAGCCCACTTCGGCCTGAGACACCAAACTAAGCAGCACTGATGAGAACTGAAACTCCGAGCTTGAAACCAGGATGTGCATAAGGACAGAAGGTCCAGGTGAAAAGATGGTGACGACAACTGCCTTCGCCACTCTTTCGCAAATTCGGGATTCTGCGAACTGGTGTACGTTTGTCTGTGTGTGTTGCTTGCTCAGGCTGGAAGACGCAAGACTCCTCATGCCCAGGGTAATGTAGCGCCAACTTCTTTTGCAAATCCAAGCTGCATTCCGAGAAGCGATGCTTGGCATTGGTGCCGCAAAGACCAACCTCTTATATAATGTTTGAGGACAAGCACTGCTTGCAAGCAAGTTCAAAAAGACGCTTTCCCAAGGTCTGATGCCTGGGATGTTCTAATCTACAGACCACGAAACAAAAATCTTACACATGTCTGGGATTATCTTATTATACACGCCCAAAGAGTGCATGCGCCAGGAAGCAACACGATGATGATCTGAGCGAGGAAGCGCTGGGACAGAGTGGCTGCGATGAACCTCAGAGCAATGTCGAGCATATGTCTAGTTTCTTTTGTTAAATATGCATACAAATTATACAAGTATGATTATTATATATTATATAGTGAACTTATAGAACATTTGTCTGTCCTTCGTTTGTTTGAAGGGGAGGGAGGTAGGGTAGGCAGGAACAAGGTAGCAGGGATGCAAAAGGCCTGAGGCTTGGGTTGATTTGGTTCCGTTCTTAGCGATGCCCTTGTTCCGTTCGTAAGGCCAGGAGCCCCTAGTAGCGTCTTTACTCCTAGTAGCGATGCCAGGAGCCCCGTTCGTAGCTTCTAGCCCCTAGAGATTTGTTTTCCTTTTATGTTCTTTCCTTTTCTTTCTTTTTCCAGTGCTTAGATTGATTTTGGGAGAACTTACTGTTAGACCTTTCTCTTTTTCCCGAATGCGTACCGAAGGGTTCCCGTTTATAGTTGGGGGTGTGGGGGTTGGACATGTGTTTGCATGGCTTGCGTCGTGTCGTCGTTTGTCGTCGTCTCTCGTCGTCTGTCGTCGTCTGTCGTCGTCTCTCGTCGTCGTGTCGTCGTCGTCGCGTCTCAAATTTGCTGCCATTGGGGGAAACTTTTGCAAGTGACTTTGCATGGATGGGTCATATGTTAGTTTGCGCCGCTATTCCATTGTGATTTGCATGACAATGACATGTCGCGCAAGCAACGTGATGCGTCTCGCTGCACAGGCGCAGTGGTTTGTGAGATCCGCAGTTTGCTGCGCAGTTCGTGTTTTTGGGGTGTTGGATGTGGCCGTGCCATTGGGATTTGCGTTTCAGGGTGTGGCATCGAAGCTCTGTTTTCGTGACAAGTCTCAGCTGAAATGGCGATTTTGGAGGATGGGAGTGTGCTCTGAACGGGTCGAAATCATTCCAAACGTGTGGTGTGGTGCAAATTTTGTTGAAGCTCACATGCGATGATATTGTCACTTTTCGTGGCAGGCGCAGGACTTCGTGCGGGTTTTGAAACGTGGAAGTGCGATACTCGTGGCAGGCGCAGGGAATCGTGAGGCTGCGAGGTGTGAGGGAGGTGACATTTCGTGCTACTTTGTGCGCGTCAGACGTGTGGATGGGGAAAGATTCGTGGCAGGCGCAGGGAATCGTGAGGTTGTGAGTTGTGGTAGATTCGCTGTCACATTGGGATTGGCGTGTGAGCGGATGTTGTTTGGAGGGGCTGGAATCTCACAAGAGTGTCCCTTAAAAGTGTCCTACAGGAGTATCCCACAAGAGTGTCCTACAAGAGTGTCCCACAAGAGTGTCCCACAAGAGTGTCCCACAAGAGTGTCCTACAAGACTGTCCCGCAAGACTATCCTACAAGAGTGTCCCACAAGAGTGCCCCACAAGAGTGTCCCACAGAGTGTCCCACAAGAGTGTCCCACAAGAGTGTCCCACACTGTTTCCTACAAGAGTGACCCACAAGAGTGTCCTACAAGAGTGTCCCACAAGAGTGTCCCACAAGAGTGTCCCACAAGAGTGTCCTATAAGAGTGTCCCACAAGAGTGTCCCACAAGAGTGTCCCGCAAGAGTTTCCTACAAGAGTGTCACACAAGAGTGTCCCACAAGAGTGTCGCACAAGAGTGTCCTACAGTGTCCCGCAACAGTGTCCCACTAGAGTGTCTCACAAGAGTGTCTGTTAAGAGTGTCCGACAAGAGTATCCCACAAGAGTGTCCTACAAGAGTGTTCCACAAGAGTGTCCCACAAGAATGTCCCACAAGAGTGTCTCACAAAAGTGTCCCACAAGAGTGTTCCACAAGAGTGTCCTATAAGAGTGTCCCACAAGAGTGTCCTACAAGAGTGTCCCACAAGAGTTTCCTACAAGAGTGGCCCACAAGAGTGTCCCACAAGAGTGTCCTAGAAGAGTGTCCCACAAGAGTTTCCTACAAGAATGTCCCACAAGAGTGTCCTGCAAGTGACCCACAAGAGTGTCCCACAAGAGTGTCTCACAAGAGTGTCCCACAAGAGTGTCCCACAAGAGTGTCCTATATGTCCCACAAGAGTGTCCTACAAGAGTGTCCCACAAGAGTTTCCAACAAGAGTGACCCGCAAGAGTCACAAGAGTGTCCCGCAAGAGTGCTCAGAATGTCCCACAAGAGTGTCCTGCAAGTGACCCACAAGAGTGTCTCACAAGAGTGTCCCACAAGAGTGTTCCACAAGAGTGTCCTATATGCCCCACAAGAGTGTCCCACAAGGGTGTCCTACAAGAGTGTCCCACAAGAGTTTCCTACGAGAGTGACCCACAAGAGTGTCCCACAAGAGTGTCCCACAAGAGTGTCCTACAAGAGTGTCCTACAAGAGTGTCCCAGAAGAGTGTCCCACAAGAGTTTCCTACAAGAGTGTCCCGCAAGAGTGTCCTACAAGACTGTCCCACAACAGTGTCTCAGTAGAGTGTTTCACAAGATGCCCTTAAGAGTGTTCTACAGGAGTATTTTACAAGAGTGTCCTACAAGAGTGTCCCACAAGAGTGTCACACCAGAGTGTCCCACAAGAGTGTCCCACAAGAGTGTCCTACAAGAGTGTCCCACAAGAGTGTCCCACAAGAGTGTCCCACAGAGTGTCCCACAAGAGTGTCCTACAAGAGTGTCCCACAAGAGTTTCCTACAAGAGTGACCCACAAGAGTGTCCTACAAGAGTGTCCTACAAGAGTGTCCCACAAGAGTGTCCCACAAGAGTGTCCTACAAGAGTGTCCTACA